TATTGGATTAGTAATGTGATAAAAAAGGTTCAGGGTGGAGTTCCATACAACACTTCTAGCAGATGGCCAGCTGGTTCCTGGAAACCAACCGTCTATTACCCACCCCCCCCCGCCTTCGGGCTTCCCTGGAGTCCTGCTCCTAATTATCTCTTTAATATCTCTTTATCTTCCAGCCCCTGCTTCCTGACCGGATGGTGATATCTGAAGCACTCAGCGGCAGCCAGACAGCCAGAGGGGAACGCGAGCCATCCATGCAGGTGGCTTTACCGTCCATCCTCACCCCCCCCCCGCAGGCGATTACTCGACCACGACCACGACCTCCGACCCCCCCCCCCCGCACCAAAATCCACAACCCTACCCTCGGAACAAAATAAAACAAATTTGCTTGAATCTCATGCTGCCTTTTGTTTGTAATTGACGCATTAGGCGAAGGGGAGGGATCTCATTTCTGGTGCCTGACGGGGGGGGAGGGGGGAGGGAAAATCTCACACCAGAATGGGAGAAAATATCTTTACATTAAGGAATTTATGGATCTCATTTATGTTTTTGTCTATTTTTCTGTAATTCATTTTAGATGTCCAAGAAATAGAGTATATAATTAGCACCTGTCAGGAAAATTACAGTGAATATCTCTCTGAAGTAGCAGTCATGAATAGTAACACAGGGGAGGAACAAGTGAGATTTATAAAAACTTTTAATTTGAGCTCAAAACAGAAGTCAGAACTGATTAAGAATAATGGGAAGTCCTTAGGGATGAGGACAAAAAAGTTCACTGGGTGTCAGAACATGAGTGTCTACAGTGAACCTGGTAAGATGTATGCTGCATATAGTCCTGGTGTGACTCCTGTTGTTGAAGAATGTAGACAATGTGAAAACTCTCTTACCCATACCCAGAGGACACACCTTACTGTCCCTCAGAGAACACACACAGGAGAGATACCTTATGAATGTAACATGTGTGGAAAATCTTTCACCAAGAAAGCAAAGCTTACTGTCCAGCAGAATAAACAAACAGGAAAGAAACCATATGAATGTAACATGTGTGGAAAGTCTTTCCCTAAGAAGGTACAACTTACTGTCCACCAGAGAACACACACAGGAGAGAAACCTTATAAATGTAATGTGTGTAGAAAGTCTTTCACACAGAAGTCAAACCTTACTGTCCACCAGGGAATACATACAGGAGAGAAACCTTATAAATGTAGCATGTGTGGAAAATCTTTCACCTGGAAGTCATCCCTTACTGTCCACCAGAGAATACACACAGGAAACAAACCATATGAATGTAATGTGTGTGGAAAGTCTTTCACCCAGAAGGAACACCTTACTCCCCACCAGAGAACACACACAGGAGAGAGACCTTATGGATGTAATTTGTGTGGAAAGTCTTTCACTCATAAGTCAAACCTTACTGTCCACCGGAGAAGACACACAAGAGAGAAACCTTATGAATGTAACATGTGTGGAATGTCTTTTGTCTGGAAGTCAAGCCTTATTGTCCACCAGAAAGCACATACAGGAAAGAAACCTTATGAATGTAACTTGTGTGGAAAGTCTTTCACCCAGAAATCAAACCTTACTGTCCACCAGAGAACACACACAAGAGAGAAACCTTATGAATGTAACATGTGTGGAAAGTATTTCAGACAGAAGTCAAACCTTACTGTCCACCAGAGAACACACACAGGAGAGAAACCTTATGAATGTAACACCTGTGGAAAGTCTTTCACTTGGAAGTCAATCCTTACTAAACACCAGAGAACACACACAGGAGAGAAACCTTATGAATGTAACACCTGTGGAAAGTCTTTCACCTCAAAGGCTAACCTTGCTGGCTACCAGAAAACACACACAAGAGAAAAATCTTATGAATATAACATGTGTGGAAAATATTTCACCTGGAATTCAAACTTCACTGTCCATCAGACAACACACAGGAAAGAAACCTTACAAATGTAGCAGGTGTGAAATGTCTTTCACCTGGAAATAAAACCTTACTGTCTACCAGAGAACACACACAGGAGTGAAACATTATGAATGTAACATGTGTGGAAATTCTGTCACCCAGATGTCAAACTTACTATTCACCAGAAAACACGCACAGGAGAGAAACTTTATGAATTTAACTTGTGTGGAAACTCTTTCACTCAGAAGTCAAAGCTTAATGGCCACCAGCAACACACACGGGAGAGAAACCTTATGAATGTAATATGTGTGGAAAGTCTTTCACCCAGAAGCTTCACCTTACTCTCCACCAGAAAACACACAGGTGAGAACATTTATGAATGTAACATGTGGAAATTCTTTCATTAACAAGCCAAAGCTTACTCTCCACCAGAGAATACACATAGGAGAGAAACCTTATGAATGTAATGTGTGTGGAAATTCTTTCACCTCAAAGTCAAACCTTACTGTCCACCAGAGAACACACAGGAGTGAAAGTTCAAAAATGTAACCAGTGCGGAATGTCTTTCACTCAGAATGTACACCTTTTTGTCCACCAGAAAACACCAGAGAGAAATGTATGTAGCAGGAAATGGAAATTAAGCCAGAAGACACACCTTAGCATCCATCACAGAACACACAGGAGAGAAACCTTATGAATGTAACAAATGTGGAAAGACATGGAGCTCACAGCTGAACACACCTAAGTTGATCCACACAAATGCAATAACTTAGGAAAGTCCAAATGGGGAAAGTCTTTCATCTGTAAGAAAATTGAGATTGCAACACAGAATCCACACAAGATAGAAACCTTAAGATATACAGATGTGGAGTCCTTCAACTGGAAGACACAGCATCAGAGAACAGACACAGACAAGAAAATACTAATGGAACAAATGTGGAAAGTCCTTCTTTACCAAATATTCATGGATCCAAGTTCATAGGACACACAGGGGAGAAATCTTTAAAATATTACACATGTGGAAAGCTTTTGATCTGAAAGATCAAAAAGACGACAAAGAATTTAGCTTCCGTTAACCAGCAAAAAGCTGAGTGGGAGGCATGGCTCGGAGTAGAGAGACAGCTATGAGAGAGGAAACTGAAGAAGCACAAACCTGAGTTCTAGCTCAGGTACTGGCAAAAAAAGAGACAGGCATTAGCCAATTATGTAAAAATCCGATCTCTGGCTCCCCCACTGGCTGCTCTGAAGCCATCTTTGCATTGTTCCCAGATCCAGCTCGCTTCAGCTTCCTCTACTATGCCTGCTCAGCCACCAAAAACTCTGGTAGCTTTCTCGCCTGACTCTCCAAACTCCTGCTTTCTTTTTTCCCTTGCTGCACTGGATCACGGGTGTACCCCCACACCCCCCCTCCTCCACACCCATGTCAGACTCACTCTGTGGACACCAGCTCCGAGAGACCCAGCAAGGACTTGAAGGAGAAGGAAGTTGTAGAGGAGGCAGAGAATGGAAGAGACACCCCTGGCCAACAGGAATGCTAATGAGGACAATGGAGAGCAGGAGACTGATAATGAGGTGGAAGAAGGAGAAGGAGAAGAAGGGGAAGAAGAAGAAGAAGGAGGAGGAGGAGGAGGAGGAGGAGGAGGAGGAAGAGGAGGAGGAGGAGGAGGAGGAGAAGAAGAAGAAGAAGAAGAAGGAAAGAAAGAAGAGGAAGAAGAAGAGGAGGAGGGGGAAGAAGACAAGACTGATGAGGATGGCTAGACAGCAAAAACTAAAAAATTATAAAAAGGCCATGTGACCTATTCACCTCTACTACTGTCCCAGAATCTAAATGTGGAAGTAGGGAAGCCTGTCACCACCCCACCAAATCCACAACTGGAATTTGCAACAGGGAGGGGAAATACCAAAACTTCCAAGGCCCTGCTTTTTTTCTTAAAAGTACTTTAAAAAGGAAATTTTGTTTCTATTTTTAGTTACATTTTATAGTTTTGTACATATTGTTAGGGGTCATCCATTTTTAATGATCTTCGATGATCCTCAGAGCATTCTGTCTTTCTGACTACTTGTGGTGTGATCATGTTCATTATAATCTCAAAGGAGAAATAAAAACTTGTACAAAACAAAAGCAAAAACAATAAAATCTTATTCCAAGCATTCCAGTAACATTTTCTGTATTTGCACTTAGCTGTACTATAAGTACAGTAGTTGGTTTGTATGAGATGGTTAAAAAGGCCAAAGATAAAAAGGTTTCTTTTTTTCTTCCTTTTTTTGTCTATGAAGTTGCTGTTCATTTATTATTTTTTTTGGCCTGTTTGATGTATGTGTGAAACAATGTTGTCCAACAATCAACCCGGAATTTTATTTTGCTGAGTTGTAACAAAAAAATAAAAGGAAAATCAGATGGGCTGGGAAGATGGCTCAGTGGTAGAGCACTTGCCTTGCATGCCTGAGGCCCTGGGTTCGATTCCTCAGCACAACATAAGCAAAA